ACTGGGTTTTAGCTAAACCCAGGACATCCTGATACAGTCTCTTGGTTTTTAGCAATTCAGTGATGCAGGCATAGGCGGAGTCTAGGCAGTAATGCCCAGCTGCGGACTAAATCAGCAGCGAACAATGCTGCAGCATTATCACAACTCAGTAAAATTCTGCAGTGCAGAAAGGTTTAGTTTTTAATTTCTCTAGTCCCTCAACAACAAACTCCTTAACAATATAACAAAATACTTCTTTAGTGGCCTATCTGAATTCATGGGACATCATCAAACTGACATACGAATCAAAGAAACATCTATAACTGCATTTTTATAACAAATAATTACCTTCTGATGCATTACTGCATAGCCACCAAGAGCTCTTCATCGCCTTTGGGATTAGCAACAAGGAATAATACTGCTTCTTAAAAGTGCACTTAAATCATCAGTATGGTTAAAATGGGTAATATAAAATAAGCGTGTTGTAAAAATGGAATATATTAAGGACTACAGAGCATGACATTTCTCTCTTCTGTGAGAACGTGGCACCTCTCACGAGTGGTAAAATAATTTTTAAGATTTCTGACATTGAAATTTAGAGTGTGGGCACAATTCTTTTCTCGCTTAGACTTCTGACAATCAGCAATGCTTCACGGAAGTCAGTGAGTTACATTGCAATAATGACAGGAGCTCTGAAGCCATAGAACATATTCTCCATTAGTTTAGAACTCCAAGGTATCCCCCAAGGAGACTACAAACAACTTCAGACAGTGGTGTCTTGGGACTAAATACATCCATTTATACGACAGTGGAAATGTAAATGTGGAGTACAGCACTTTCTCACAGGTAGTTCATGCTCACTGTGTATTTATGAGTAAGAGCCGCTTATTCTGGTTTTTGATTATTGTTAAAGTAAGTTCAGTGCTGATTTGACGGCCCTGAAAATGCAGTTTCCTGCTTACACACAGAACAGTCCCACGAGTTTAAACGTGGCTCATCTCTACCCTGCAGGACACAGAAAGGACAGCAGTGAGGCTTTATACCTCTTCATTTTGTGACCTCTCCAGTGACACCCACAACAATTAAAAAACACTTGCAATCCTGGCTGGCACGAGCTAAGATTTCCTCCTTCAATTCTAACTGTAACATGATTTCCACAGAACACCTGTGTCTTCTCTGATTCAAACGGTGAAGGCAACTCATGCCCCGCCATCCCAATTTCTTTTATTGCTGTACTGCGCAATGCGATAGAGCTTTGACTGGATCCCCCAGATATTGCTACTCCTACTAATACTACAGACAACTGACTGTGGAGCAGGAAACAAAGCATTAGCTAATTAGGCACATCTCCAAAAATTCATAAAGTAGCAATTCTTCACTGTTGCTAAACAGGGTTGGATTTCAGCCTAGATTTTTCTCCTGGAAGGAAAAAGCGATGCCATACCAACAATTTCATCAGTTACTTACTGCACCTCTCTTTTCTCCTTACTTATTCATTCTGTCTGTAGACAGCCATAAAAGAAAAAGAAAAGCAGTCTTGCCTGTAGATGGTTGAAGTGTTTCTCATATCAAATCCCGATGAGTTTATTCTTTCCAGGAAAGCTTGCGCAAGCTCTGGTGTGATATCATACACCGTGTCCAACTGCTTTGTTGCATTGTCATAGCTAACGAATAGTCTTATCTGACCGGTACAAACAAAATCATGTGTCAGGATTATGAAACAATGTAAGTTTGACACTCTAAATTAATAGACTCCATTCATGTTCTAGAGAAGGAAGAAGACAGATCTGGATCATGCAGTATTTTTGAAAGCAAAGCTGAGTGAGCGATTCTCCGTTAAACTGTCAAATAATTTGAGGGACTTTTATCATTGGTCCCCACCTTTCAGTAAAAATCACAGAAGTTTGATACAAATAAATAATTACATATTAATGATAGGCACTTTCAAATTTCAAAAAACCAAGAATATTTAAGTTGACAATGGATTTGGATTCACTTTATCTTTAAGTAATTAAAACTACAAACTTTTTCATGTTTAAGGTTGCTTTTGTGTTCATATTGTTGTAGCTGACATCACTTGACACTGATATACAATGATATACACAACCACGTTTTGTTACTTACTTCATTGAGACTAATTTTCAGAATTTCTTCTAACGGGAGATGGACGATGAATCTTCCCAAAATCCATAAGTTTTCTGCACTGACCCAAGAAGTTGTTTCATTGAACTCTGTTTAGTACAAATAAATACTCACTACAATGTTAAGAACGTAATTATTTTTCAATTATTTTGTACCCAGTATATTGTTATCGGTAAATGATCAAAAACATATCTGAGGTTCCCTACATTAGCTAGATTTTAGCATCATATCTTTATGAGCCCATGCATTTTTAAATGAAAATGAAATAATGTTTCAAATGTCTCAAATCTTCTAACATGAAAATGATTAATGTTTTATGTTGTCAAAATAGAAAATTGATAAAGTATGGGACAGAAAAAATTAAATCAATACTATAAATATGGAGCAGCATTTTTAAATCCAGTTTTCATAATCAAATATATCATTTAAGAACACCAGGAAGGCATGACACCTTGTAACACTTCACTCATCTTTATATATTATTATTGACGGTAACACTTATTTCAGGAATATGCAATAGCAATAATGGAGAAAATGAAAAATCATTCATATAACTAAATGGAAACAGGTTGGCAAAACCCACAAAATACTGCACAACAGTTAAAAAATGCCATTCATTTAGTAACATTCTCCCAAGGACTGACAATGAAACCAAGATCCAAATATCCCAGAGAAAAAAAGTATTTATGGACTAGCTGGGTACTCTGAGCTGCAAAGACAGTGTTTTCTCCAAGGATTCCTCTGACATATTCCTTACCAGTGCTGATAATCACAACTCTTGTTAAAATAAAATCATCAGTGCACTTTGAAGGGTTCTCAGCATCTGAAAAAACCCCAGCCTACAAATATCAGAAGCTGAAAAACCCCATTTAGTAAGTTGAAAGACACAAAGAGTTAAACAAAAACTAGCACAATTTGAGGATGCAGAATGGACCTGCAGTTACCACCATGGCAGCTCTGATCTTCCAGAGCTGTTTCATTATTTTTAAGTAAGGTACAATATTTAAAAGTTTACAGCCTCCTGTAAGGGAGCCCTGCAATGGCTACCACCACGCTTATCTCTGAACACCTTGGCATTTTTAATACATGAACTGTGATAATTGGCTGGGTGACAAAGAAATTTCTTAAAAGGTTTGACTCTGAGACATAAAAGCCACATATCATCTCCTGCCCCGCCAGTGATCCAGCTGCAGGTGCTGCCTGACACAGTGGGGAGATAGAGTGTGCTGGAAAAGCCCTTTGCATTTCTGCAGGCACAATAGAGATATGGCAATGGGCTCAGTGTCACCAAAAACCAGCAGAAGTGCTTTGGATGTGGCCCCATAAGCACCACAAATATGAAGCTTCTTTCAGGTTTCTTTTCTGCTGAGCTTCAGTGAGGAAGATGCTGATCCCTTTCCCAGGCGGTCCCAGTGCTACCCACATACAAAGTGAATAAATCAGAGTATTGCAGAACTCTTCCGTTGTCCCACACAGTGCTGTGACCCGTGGTGTGCAGATGTACTCGAGTGAGCTTTAGGCTTGCCAGCCTGGATGCTGGTAGCAGTCCAACTGTGCCTACTCAGAGCTGACGGGTTCTGCAGGTCACGCTACCAGAACTAGCTGGTAATCAGTCCACCCTCAACGTCTTCAGGAGTAGATTCACTGAATCTGTGCTGAAGCAGCAACCAGGAGGTGAGAGAGGCATGTTAATTCTCAGTCCCTCCTGAGCTGGGTCATCTTTTACAAACTGAGAGTTTGCTAATGTTTCAGACACAACCCATTATGTCTGATGCTGTGGGATTATAACAGGACTGTTGAGTATCACCAGGTAAATTCTGCATCTTTGCTTCTCCAGCAACTTAATGGGTTACTCTGATATTTTGAAACAGCAGAAGTCCCAGGTGCCAAACTGAGCGCTACTGAAGCAAGTGGGCATTTTGCCTTTGATTTCCATGGAAAGAGGAAGAACATACACGTCTAAAAGTCTAAAATGCTCCCAGGACAGCACCGCTGGGATGCTCAGTGAAATGCACGAGTTGGCTCTGCGGTGTCAGTGCCTCTGCCGCTTTACAGCCCCCTCGTGGAGCCTGCCCTACACTGTCCCAGCTGCGACACATCTGTTCAAGACACATTAACAAGGCAAACAGATGTGGTAAAATGCGTAAAATCAGAGTTAATTAACTTTGGTTTTATCGTGTCCCTTTTCTGAATGAGTCAGTGCCACGTGCAGTAGAACTTTCACAAGATCCTGCATTTCTTTTGTAATTTTAAACAGTGCATTGGCTAATTTATTCTGAGACAGATACATTTTTCAATTCTGAACAGAAGTTCAGAAGTGAACAACATACCTGTGCAGAGTATCTGGCAACTGTATCCCATTTAAGTCTTAGAAAAAGGACTTGAGTACAGAGACTTTGTGCATAGCTCTGTGCAGAAGAGATGAAGAGTAAGCGTCTTTGGAGAACTATTTGCCACGAATAACAAATACGTTTATTCTGGAGCAAAGGTATTGAAGTCAGCTACTCTTAAACAGATTTGTGTTAAATTTGGGAAACAATTCAATATAATGGATAGGCCTTTTGCTGTATTTTTTTTCTCATGACAAGCAAGAAGAAAATAATTTGTACATAACATACCACTCATGTTACAGGATTTTTGTAAAATTTGCTTCATCCAGCCATACAGAGCTCTCTGGGTATTTTCTGAGGTTCTGTCATAAAGGTCCTTGAATACTGTTGATCTAAGTGATACAAGGGCATGTTAGCTCACTAACGAGTTAACTATTTATTCTTTTAAAGTGACATACATAGACAAATGTTTTTAGAAATAGCACCGCATAAGCAGAAAGCTGTATCTGGAAAATAGACTGAGACCATACAGCAATCTCTTTTTAAAAGTATATATAGTCAGCAGATACTACATGGTATTAATTTTGTCTGGAAAACAAGTGGCTTACAAGTTTCTGAAAGCATCCTCCAGCAGAATGTTTGGGAGGCTCCCAACGACATCAGGTTGGAGATAGTTCACCACTGACGCACGCAAAACCTGGCTTAAAATATCCACACAGTCCAAAGCGCTCAGAGCCAGAAAGCATTTATCCAGTGTTATAAGGAACAAGGTCCTGTTTACTCCTGGGCTTTGAAAAATGCTCTCTCTAGTCTTGTCCCAATCAAGAATAACATTTCCAATTTCCTGCAAGCAACAGAGGGTTAAAAGAATGTATCTTTGATTAATTCAATATATTGTTTATTTTGAGGCCTGACAAAAAGTACTCCACAAAAAATATGGTGCTGTTCTCATGAAAAATAGCCACAAACTACTGTTTGGTTGCATTACTTCAGGTAATTCGTCTCTGGCACCAGCGAGAGGCCAGCTTGAATCTTTTGACAAAATCAAAATGAAAAACCGAACACGTAAACCAAATGGTTGAAGTTATAGTGTGTGCTTTCATGAAAGAATTAGTTACTTGGAAAATGAAAGAATAACAGAATACACAATTTAGTATGCAGAGATCTCTAAAACAGACCTTTTCCCATGCAGTATTTCTGGCAGCTGTTACTACAAACACCCCCTGCAGAAGATGAGGCAACATCAAAGAATCGAGCCCAGAGAATAAAGTCACCCTGGTCGGAGATGATTATTAGGTTGCTCTGTCTCTCAAGCTGATGTGCCTAGGACAGCCTGGTCAGAGCTGACAGTGCTGGGCCTGGAGATTTGTTCATGCAATATTATGAGTCCCAGAAGAACTGAGTACGCCTTTGGAGGAGATGAAAGTTAGTGTTTATTGAAAGGGATTATGCCCTACTCTTTCAGCTCCCCGTGCATCCTGCACACCTATCCTTGTGTGTTTTGGCAGCAGCAGCTGCACCACCATTGTTTGAATAGTGGATTATAGAGTGTTTGTTCTAGGCAGTCACCTAATGCGTCTGGGGAAACACACTGCCTTCCTCCCAGATTAATCTCCACCCCCCCAGCGATACCTACTCTAGCAGCCCTCTAGGTTCCAAGTCCTCTCACCGATGACGATCCCATCCCTGCAGTGGAGATCCTCCCTGGGTGGCACTCACCGACTTTGAGAGAGACTTTTAAGGTGAGTTGCACAGGGAACACACCATAGAGGCAAGCAAATGAAGTTATGATGCCTCCCCTCCAAATTGCCTAACAATTGGCCTGCATACTCCCATAACTAATTAACTAATTTAACACCTACAGTCATCTTGGAGCTCCTTCTAGCCACTGAGGAGAAGCAGACACTCCTGAGAACAACTCCTCCTACCTATCTTAGATACTTGCATAGGAAGGTAAATCATTCTCTGGAGAACTGTTTCTGTACCCCAATTACAGAGAAAATCCAGGGGACTGACTTAGAACCAAACTTTAGACAACAAGAATTAAGTAAGTCCAACCTAAAGATAGGGGCTCGGGAATCCAGTCCAAGCCAGCTAAGTAATGGCATGGTATGAACGGAGAGACCCCGAGCCTGGCCCTTTCCCATTTATCTAAAACACTGACAGCAGCAAAATTACTTACAAGACGGTCCTTTCTGATCTTGAAGAGATACTTCATTGCAGTTTGGAACTGCTGCTGATCAAGCTGTTGAAATTCGGATAGTAGTTGCCTAGGCTGGTATAAAAGGTTCTTCAAGTAACTTTTTATGGACATCTGAAGTATAGAAAAATACATGTGATATAGATAAAACTCATACTATTGTACTAGGGGGTATCTCTTACTCCCTGAAAATCTCTGCTTAAGGAGAGATAAGTGCTTAGCTCCTGTGTTGTCTGTGTTGCCAATGACTAGAATAACTATATTCAACACAAACTGTAAACAAAAATAATCAAAAGGTAATTCTGAAAGACAGTAGTTTTTTAATCCCATTCTTGGCTTCATGAGCGAGTCCTCTCCCATGAGCCATCTAGCAAAAAAGAGTAATAATGTTTCTCTGCTTCACAGAGCAGAGCTGTGAAAGTGAAACTTTTAAAGAGCTCAGAAAAATCAAGTAACGTGTGCACATTACTTAAAAAAAGGAAGGAAATGTGCAATTAGATGGGAAGAAAAGTCTGTACTAGGTCATACGGCAAAAATATTATCTCTCGCATCATACTGCATTGCTACTTAACAATCTCGTGCCTGTTTTGAAAACCTAAGGGGAATTATAACATTGGAACAGAAAGCACTGTAGGGCTCATTAGCACCAGACGCGTAAAATCCCTTCTAATTCCTGACAGAATTATTTCAGAATTGATTTGGAATTTGAGTTGAAACTATTCTTTGTTGTCTTTGCCTAGCTTGCATTGCCACCAACAAACATTACCATAGTTAAGTCCTTGCTGTCTAGGGAGTCCAGGCTTGCTTACAGCCCTAAACTCTTAATAAATCCAATTAAATGGGAAGGGGCAGTGTTAGTTCCATGTAGGTTTGGATGAGCTGCGTCAGTGAAACAGAGCTTGGGAAAAGGTTCAAGTGCTCCTGAGCTAAGTGGCCGTGGGCTTTTGGGAATGCCTGAGGCTGAGAGCCTCTTTTTCAGAGCTTGTGTGTGCAGGTAGGGAGGAGGGAGGGGTCAGGTTTTGAACAGCAGGCTACAGCTACACTTAAATCAGCTCATAACTAATCACAATGACCATAATAAGAGCAAGACTTTTTCCTATATCACATCCACATTGATCACTTACAAAAATAAAGAGTTCAGAGGCACTTTAAAAGGATGCATTTTGTAGGATACTCTGGAGCCTCTCCTTCTCTCAGAAGCTGTACAAACTACAGCCACAGTCAAAATCTGGGAGAAAGCCGGCATTTTGTGGACAAACATACGTCTACATAAGTATACAGGCAATATAGAAACAATTGCTGAGCCTGAAAATGCCTAATTTCTGCTTTCTATCAGAGAAAAAGCAAAAAGACCTTCTTTATTATTATTTCTGCTTTGCACACTTCTGCAATCTTAGTGGGAAAAGGCAACAAAAAACCCCTCTTTCTACTTCCTCCTTACCTGCAACACTGAGATCTGCTAATTATCTCTATTACTGACAGACTAATTTGGGCTACAGAGATGGGTTGCTTTTTAAATTCCTTTTTAAATAAAAAATTTCATGCATTTTAAATGGCACAAACCTGTAGGCTGCTAAGAGTAAATGTAACTTCCTGGGCATGAAAATATGCCATGATTTTTGGAAGCATATCTGCTGTCCAGACATGAGAACTGTAACAGAAAACAGGACCAAAAATGCCAGTAAAATAATATAACATGTAAACCAGAAGATTACAAGACAAAATAAGAAAAATAAACACTGCTAACAACACCATTATGACAGAAGTATTCAGCTTTCTGGCCTAACCAGGCTAAGAGTTGACCTGTTTAATGCAATGAAAACACATGGTTCAATGAAGAACAAATTGAATTAGTTATGGGGTTTTTTTCATCTAACTCCACAACCATCCACAATAACCTCAATTTTCCAACATGTTGCCATTCTGTAGGTGATCCTGCTCTGGCAGGGGGGCTGCACTAGATGATCTTTTGAGGTCCCTTCCAACCCCTGACATTCTGTGATTCTGTGATTCACACCATCTCAAGGCATGAGACGAGCTGTGCTGTGGCTAGTCCAGAGCTTTGGGTGCGCTTCCTGCCTGTTCTGATCTGCTTGTAGAAAGAATGTCCAGTGACTAATGTCTGCTGACTTTCCCTCAGCAGGGTCATTAATTTCAGTGGGTCTTCTTTACAAAGCCATTGATTTTCTCAAAATACATCGGAGTGGAGTTGCCTTTGAGGCTTCTATTGCTTTCAAATTTAGACAAAATTAGCAAATAATTCAAAAGTCGCCAGGAGCTGGAGGAAGTGAGATGGACTGGGACTGAAAGAGAGAGATGGAGAGAAAGCTGGAACCGCACCTAATTTCCTTAAGATGCTATTCTGAAACATATGAACAAAGTTAATTACCAGAACTTCCGAAAACTGCAGCAGGTATTTATTGCCAGCCTTATTCTACCCATGTTTTTTGCTTTATCATGAAAAAACAGCTCTTCACCGTTAAGGGGAAACACCCATCACAGGAGATCTAAATCAAAGTAATCATACGTGCCAATTTCATTTTATCCGTAACGTTCCAGTTTATGTGGAAATGAAACAGATTGTATCTGAAGCGCAAGATAATACTGAAAAATAAAGATGGTAAGAGTAATACATTACCTTTGAAAATGAAGTATATCAAGGAGAGCTGCATATGAAAAATGGAACATAAAAAGTTATGGTGAGATATTGAGTTTTAATACCTTTTAGAAGCTTAAATGGAAAAAAAATGTACATTACCATGCAGGTATTTCCCAGTTATTATTTCCTCCTGAGAAAGAAATTATAAGTGTATGTAATAAATTATTATTTTTAGATTATAATATAAAATGTTAGTAGAGAAATCAAATAAAAATACTAACCACAGCTTTGTGTAATAATGGAGGCAAATCTGTAAAAGATTATCCTGTTACTAAAAATTGATTTAATGTTTTATCATTCAAATGTGTTATATAAAAAAATATATATTGTATGCAGCACTCAACTGTATATAGATACAATTTATTTATAAGCATTTAATGCAGCTTTTATTAAATCTATTTACAGAAAAAAAAGTGAAAACAAAAGGCTATTAAATAATAAGTAATCTTCGTTAAACTCTTTGCTGTCATAGCTCCCTGAAGTCAAGAGAGCAGAGAATATGGTCCTAGTTACTAAACAGTAACACATCTATTTTACTATACATAGCTTTTTGCATTCAGAGAAAATCTCTCTCTCATGCAGGAATTCTGGTCTTACCTTCAAAATTCTGACTGTGTGTAATCTCAGCATGATTCACTGATATCAATAAGAAACATATCTTCAAAAGTCTGGACATTTCCTCTACAGTCTATTAGAATCAGAAGATATTGGGATTGAAAAGGAAAATAAAAAGAACAGTGTCAAAAGGCAATATTCACCCAAAACTTTCATAGCTATAAATCAGAGACAGCCTGAGCTATGGAATATGGATAGAGATCAGAATGATCCAGAAGTGCTTGCTCCCAAGTTTTTAATTTAGATCTTTTTCCAGGATAGAGAAATATTTTATGCAAATACAAATCTGCCAAGTGTGCATGTGCAGCCAGATTTATTTTCCTTTCACCAAGTAGCTCTTTTTTCTTCCTTGTATCACCATTTATGTACTCAGCCATATTCTTCCTATATATGACTTAAATGCAGTTTCATTAAAACAAACAAATAAATCCTTTTAAACACTGATAAAACAGAAAAGAAATAGAGAGACTGAAAACGGAAATAGTACAGAAGCTCCAAACAAACCTTAAGCTTTTTATAGCTCATTAAGTTGCCCAACAATTGCTGCAGACCAGGCCTGGGAACCTCCATCTGCAGAACTCGGAGCTCGAGCGCTGGAGGCCCCTGCACCACTCGTTTGCCCGTCAGTGCAGTGCACCCCAGGCAGGGAGGGGGAAGGACCACTCCCCTCTCGGCGCCACTTTGCAAAAAAGGGATGAAATGTCCTTACACACTTCTGAAGCAGAGGCAAGGCGACACATTTGGAAAATGGAGTTCAGGACCATGCCACCTCACTTAGACAGATCAAAGCTCATGAGAAATATACCATCAATTTTTCACCATCAGCTAGTAGGACGTAGTTTCTATGGAAATACGTGTTTTAGTATTTCTTGCTATCCCTGCTGCCCTGTGCCATGTGGCTTAAAGAACATCAAAAGATAAATTAGCTGGAAGGGTAGCAATGGGACACCTGGAGCTTTTCACCAGGGTATCACTGATTCTCATCAGAAAAGACTGACACTCTCCCAGTTGTCCTGTATGGAATGAATTTGCTGCTTTTGGTCCAGTTCCTGAAGGACAAGCACACACATTGCAACAGCGCAACGGGCTGGAAAGGAAGCAGAGATGAGGCAGGTCTCGCTCACGCAGGCACTCCTGCAGCCATGTCCCCAACACAGCACTGAGGAGCACAAGCAGCTCTACTCCACGTTGCACCAAGTTTACCACAAAGAGGATTTCTGCCTCTGCACCCTTTGCCTGGCCCTCTGCCCAACCGCGAGGGTCACCATTCCTACAGGTAAAATAATTAATCTGAGATAGTAGATGATGCTCTACTCTACAGATTGCAGCTGCTTACACTGGGATTAGCCCCTGACTTTAAAAAATTACATAGAGGGCCCCGTTAGTCCACTTTGTTCTGACCCTGAGATGACTTTGTTAGGTTTTTTCTCCCTTTTCTTTCATTTCAAGGATTTATCTACAGCCACACTTAATGTCTGCATTTCTTTGTTGCTCACTTTGGATTCGTTGTCTCTTTCCTTTTTTAAAAAGTTCTCTGCCACAGCTTGAGTTACAGATCTGAACATCTGATAAATACGAACCTCTTTTTCAGGTTGTTTAATCTCACATATCAGCAAGGTACTCTTTTATGAAAATATCTTTCAACAGCCTCTAGCAATACTTTAGTCTATCACAAACCCTGAACTACAGTCCTGCAACAGAAGTGACTCAAACTGATGGAAGACAAAACATTTGAACATTAGACTTAAGAAGCTATTACCTCTGTCTTGTTCTTACACACACTAGAACCCTTTTCAGCTATTTTTTTGGGAGCGACACAAAACATGTCTCTCATTCAGACCTATCTGGTTTCTTAGACAATGAAGTTTCTTGTGTTTATTTCTGCCTTTGCCCCACTGATTTTGCAGCAAGGTTTGATTACTCTGCATGGTTTAAATCATGTTCCCAGTGTCAATCCTGACTTGTTTATTCCAACTCATTTACTTTGATCAGGGGCTGTATTTTAATTAAAGCATGCTAAGTTAATATATAAGGAGATTAAATGCAAAGGAAAGTGCTTTTTTTATCCTAACTCCAGTTGACAATTAGCAGGTGCAGAAAAAGTCTGCTGGGAAACAGCCCTGCTTGATAAGACAATCTATGATGAAATACTTATTTTGTCTGCGAAACTAGTCTGTTTGCAGAAGTTCACTGCAGCTTTCAGACAATTCCAAATCACCTTGCAGGGATCTCGGAGATCCCATCCAGCATTTCCCTAGAGACAGCTCCTTCCACCGTGGCAGCATACGCTATGATCAGATCCCCGAGATGTCACCCTTGTAGGACTTCCCAGTTAAGAGGAGCTCCCAGATTGCCTTCTCCTCTTGCTCCCTAAACAGCTGCTCTTCCATGTAAAGAAATCCAAGACATTTTATCACTCACTCCAACGCAGCCGCTGCCTTATCTGGAGCTTGATAACCAGAAAGCTAACCTCATAATCGGAATTCTTGCTGATAAACCCTCGCACTGCCAGTGCGCATCCTCCCCCATGCAGCTGGGCGTTCAGCGCCTCCGAAAAAAAGCCCAATATGCAGCGAGGCAACCTCCATGGGGTTCAGTCTGGAAAGGAAGAAAGGGAAAGGGAGGGCAGAAGAGAAGAAAGAGATGGCGTATGCTTGGGGAGAGCCCCACGGCACTTTACCTGCCTCTGCTGCGTGCGCCTCTGTCCCACGCTCGCAGTGCAATGAGCTGGGCGGCTCCAGCCAGGACCCCGAGAGCCAGGGGCAGGGACTGGGGCCAGCACCGCCTCGCAGCCGCAGGGGCCTGCCCAGCAGAAACCAGCCTTCAGCCAGAGGGGAGGGGAAAAGCCTCCTCTGCTGGGGGCTCAGACTCCCATAGCAGGCAGAAGAGGATGCTTCCCCTCCCCAAGGTGAAGCGAGCCCAAGGGGTTGTATGGGGGAAAGGCTCAGGGCCAGGCTGGCGCTGCCTGGCGCCCTGCTCCCCCCATCCTGACCCCGGGCGGGGGCCCTGCGCTCCGTGGAGCAGCATATGAACTGACTGTACCTGGCATAACCCAGCAAAGGGGCTTGTGGTTTCTGCGAGACGAAGTTGTTGCAACTTTGCTTTGAAAGTTTCAGACTACACATCTTTTTCCTGCGATGCCACACATCCAGCGCAACCTTGACAGAACAGACAGTTGAGTTACTCTCCGTGGCAAAACACTGCACAGCAGTGAGAAAAACGAGGTGCAGCTTGCACACCATCACCCACAGCAGGACAAGGACAGGGGAGGGACAAGGCAGGTTCCCCAAGCTCAGGAACAATAAAATTGAACATTGGACTCACAAAAAAACCCCACCACTTCTCCCTTTGGATGGTATCTTTAGAAGTATTTCAGGCAGTTTAGTCAACTACAGGACTCAAGTTTCTTTGCACAGAGCTGTGTGAGCAGGCATTAACTGCACACAAACGCACTCAAGGTCTGGTGAGAGAAAGACATAGTGAGCCCTGCCGTGCCCCTTCCTTTGCAAGGAACTCTGATTTTACAAGTACCTGTGTACTTAGAATTTAAGCTTACTCTTTTCACAGCTTTTCCCTGCTATTGCTCGAGTGTGATTTTTAGCCTGTGGGAATCTTTGAAGAAGTTTTTCTTAAATATGTTCTACATGAAGCTAAATTCATTACACATTAAGAAACATATTTTCCCACGACCAGATGAGTACAAGGGAAGGTAACAAAATAAAAATGAACGGATTCATTCCAGAGCATATAGCTCATTTTTCTAACGAATCTGATTGTACTTGGTGCTAAAATTCAACAGCACGTGATGAAACAAGAATAAAGCCGAACTACTGCTGAAAAACTACTGTCGAAAAAACCCCGCTAGCCAAATCTTTTGCCCCATACTACAGAGTATTTTACTTCACAGAGATGACTGAGAACAAAAAAAGTGATTAAATTAGCAAAAGAAATGACAAACCACCAGGGAAAGAAAGTTCAAGATAAACCTAAAAACAGCTGCTGAAGCATCCTACCTGGCAAAAGATCAACAAACATTAAAAAACAAACAAAACCCACAATGTACAACTTTTTTAGACTTCAAGAGCAAAGGTGAGTTCTTACTTTACTTACCAGCAGATAAAAGAGCTGAGGTTTCTCTGCTCTCTCACAATACTTAACATGCCAAGCAATGCAAAACATACACCTGCCACTTCTGTACTGCTTGTGATGTCGCTTGCTGTTTAAACGGAAGGTTAAATCCCAACTGCCAGAAATTATCCATTTAGCCACATTTTTAGAACAAGACATGGTAAAACAAATAGCAGTTATTTAGTACTCCTGAAGAAAATAAAATGTGCCAAGCTAGCAAACCCTTCCGTATCAGAGGGCAGACTCACAGAATTTGCAGGAACCTGTTTGCAAGTTTTTTAACCAGAAATCTTCTGAGAATACCTTGCTTAGAAAGTTAGTCTTTAAGCCCAACAGTTTGAAGTCCAGTTTTTGCAAGTTCCACCACAGCCCCTTTAGGTGAAAAATGTTATATGCAAAAGCAACGAGAGGAACGTAAAGAAAATCCAATCCAAAGTGATACATTTTTTGTGGACTGCTATCCCTTTAAACAATACTTAAATGCTCTTACACATGCAAGGCTGTGCTGTTACTGAGAGCTTGATTCTCAACACAAAGAGCCTTCACTGCAGGCAAGCAGGACTCTGGTTACAAAAATGAACACAAAAGTTAATACAAAAAGTAATCTCAAAAAAAGTTTATTAGCTTGATTAAAAACATGTGAAGAATGACAGTAAGAGGAAAAGTAACTTAGCATGGAAGAATATCCATTTCAACAGTTTATATTCAACAAAGCTTGAACTGAACGGATAACTTTATTGCCAGATTTCACTTGATTTCTTTAACAATTGTTCACACTGTATCATTCATCATTATTAGGACTATTGCTTTTTTTGGATCTGATCCCTGTTGCAGGTATAAAGTATAAAAAAATATCCCCCACTACTGCTGGATTGCAGAATGCCTTGTTGGTTTAAGAGCTGGTAAAAAAAGAAATTCTCAACTGAAGAGTCTGTTTAAAAACAACCTTTTTTCCCCCTAATCACACTACAAAGAAATACATTAGTATTTTGGCCTTTAAATTTCTTACATGGTATTTATTTAGCACTGCAATCCCAAATTCCCTCCCTTTAAGTAACCATAAATCAAGCTCCTCTTTCAGAGGCTGCTTCTTGGGTTAGATTCCGGAGATTTACTTCACACACGCTTACACTGGCTTGAGGACGAAGACAGCATCATCTAGTACATAGTAGTCATTATACATATCACCTTCACATAGGTATGGCAGTCTGGTGAAAGCCTCTATGGCAAAACCAGCTTTACTGAAAACTTCTGGCAGGCTATTCACCTGTTCTTCCCAAGTGTGCCCTTTGATTTCCAAAACTTCTGAGGGCTTTTCCCACTTGCCACCTACTGAGAAAACAAAACAGTTTTGTTTAAATTATACAGAAAACTTTATTGCATGTCATATTTTCTTACATATTACATAAGCATATTGCACAGACAGCATTCCATTCCGCTCTGAACAGGAGGCTGACAAGCCATTTGTAGAGCTGTTGCAAGATTAGTTCAAGTTTTTTCCTCTTGTTCAGAAGCAGCTCCTTCTTAAGGTTATCTTTCACTACATTTTTAACTAGCAGTTTCAAGACTGGCTGAAAAGTAAACTTCCACTAGTGAGGCTGAGGTTCAGC